GGCTTTGTTTACAATTATTAAACAGTTAATGAGCTGCGAAGCACCAGGAGGCTGTTTATAACAATAACAACAGTTGATTACCAAGTTTTCATGCTTGTCAACTGTTTAATAAATGTAACCAAAGTCATCAAAGATTGAGGAAAGATGTACAGGTTCGTAAGTACTTGCGTAACTGCTTCGTGAATCTGGCCCCAGTTTATTGAATATTGGCATGAGTACGATGCCTACGATGAGTCACAATGTCCGTCACAATCAGTACGATATATCGATCCTACGGTTGATAGAAAACATTTGTCACAAAAATCACAAATGCTCTGTTTTGATATTTCATGATTTATGTTATTAATGATGAATACTTTGGCTTAGCAAGTAATTATAGTGGTTACCTTGAGGTTACCTTGAGGTGCTTCCGGGGCTTAGCGTCCCCGCGGCCCGGTCGTCGACCAGGCCTCCTGGTTGCTGGACTGATCAACCAGGCTGTTGGACGCGGCTGCTCGCAGCCTAACGTATGAGTCACAGCCTGGTTGATCAGGTATCCTTTGGAGGTGCTTATCCAGTTCTCTCTTGAACACTTCATATAAGGTTGCATATAAGGATCAGCGTGTAAGTAGTTTGTTAGTCCCTTTGTGTGTGTGTATTCATCTAGTTGTGCTTGCGGGGGTTGAGCTCTGCTCTTTCGACCCGCCTCTCAACTGTCAATCAACTGTTACTAACTATTCCCCCCCCCCACACACACACATCCAGGAAGCAGCCCGTAACAGCTGCCTAGATACCTATTTACTGCTAGGTACTTACCTAATTGTGCTTGCGGGGGTTGAGCTCTGGCTCTTTGGTCCCGCCTCTCAACCGTCAATCAACTGGTGTACAGATTCCTGAGGTAACAGTGTGTGCGTGCGATTGTGAATGTATGTGCATGTTTCTAGGCGAATTTGTTTTGAGAATGTAAGTGCATGTACGTGTCTGAGTTTGAGAGACATTAGAAAGAATAATTTAAATATCAAATTAGTTAAATGGAATGCATTAGGAAATGTAGTGCAGCCAGACTAAACAAAAAAAATCAAAAGTAGATGTGATAGACCGCAATAGGCTCAGGAACCTATACATCAGGTAATGGTTGAGAGGCGGGGACCAAAGAGCCGAAGCTCAACCCCAGCAACCACAACTAGGCGAGTACAATAAGGTAAGTACCAGAGATGTGTACATCCACACTCTGCTCATCCTGCCTCCCCCTCCCCCCTCCCCCCCTTCACTTTCAATACCTCCCGCCTGTGTATTGATCACAAACTGTTCGTGATGCTACTGTAATCCGCTGATTATAAATCCCGCCTCCATTATAAATTAAAGAGAGATTTATCGAAGTATACAACAGAGTAAAGTTAAATGACACGGCACGAATACCAACGACATAGCTGGACCGCATCTACAGTTGCCAAGTTCTCATGAATGATAACTAATATTTCTTTGAAATTTCACACCTACATATCTAAGATCAATTTACCATCGATTATTAAGAGGATTTGCAAATTCTTATATAATATGGACACGATGTATGTTACTATAAAAAGTATTATACAAATATGTCTAGCCTCCCGAATTTGGTATCACAAACAGGAAGTGATACACAGTTAACGTGAACGAAGCGTTACGCGTCTGAACGATGGTTGAGGAGGTAGCGGCCTTGAGCGGCTGTAGCTAGAAGTCTATGGTCACATCTTGCCACCTTTCACTTGAAAGTCTGGACGGCTCGAGAGATCATTATTTGCCTCCAATAAATGGGGGAACATAAAATACTTATGCAATGGAAGCTTAGCAAAATAAATATTCAACACATGTTTTCTGAATAGTATATGTATTCCCTCAATCTATAAATGCATCAGTTTTTATGAATTCCTATGAAGTCTGGCCCATACAACAGTTCTTGCAGGTCAGCGCTCGATCCCAGATGGTCCAATGTGGTTTGTGGTTTGTGCGCTGTTCCTTTCCTCGGTCCTCATATCCCCTCCGAGTGCTATATATTCATACTGACTTAATGCTTTCTTCTCATAATCATCATTTCCCCCCTTGCACCACAGGTTTGACTATCAAGCTTAAACATGAGACATTTAACAATTCTTATTCTTGGGGACAGGAAGCCTGTATGTACGTATGTATAGGCACTTTCGACCCAAGAGCCGAAGCTCAACTAGGTGAGTACACAAAAGCACACACATACACTTAGACTTGTATCAAGGCCTCTTCCAAGAACAAACTGCTGACCACCTCCAGGATACAACCTCAACTGTTGCCTAATTCCCAGGCACCTATTTACTGCTAGGTAAATAGGTGCATTTGATGAAAGGAAAAGTGCTCAACGATTTCTCTCCTGCCTGGGAGTCTAACCTGGGATCCCCCGAATGTGAGTCAAGAATGGAACCTCTAGTAAAGTTCGCTGCAAGGTCACAAAAAGGATCTATGACACCTAAGCTGCTAGGAATACCGAGTTAGGTGAATAGCATAGTATTTATGTTGGAGGTTAAGCTCTGTCATGGCAGTTATTCTGTGCTAGATGGCAGAGGGTTACAAGTATGATAACTCATCAAACAAGCAATGACAGGGCTAACCTCATTTGATATTAAATTTGAACAATTTATAATTCAAACTCAAACTATTATATAAAATTATTTACTGCAACATATGCAAGAGGCCACAATGTAAGAAATACTCCTCCAAAAGTACCTTATGAATGACCTTATGAAAGATTGTGCCTTGCTATGGTATTAATAAGTTAAAAAGACAAGTAATTATCAAAAGGTGCCAAGCAGGGAAGAATATTTAGCTTAAGGCATTAAACACTAAAGAGTCAATAATGATAACAAATGAGTGTTGCCACAGCCATACAAACTTTCCCAGAGCACAATACCTCATAATATGTCTAATTAAAATTATCTATAAATACCAATGTTTCAGATATCTAAATGTATAGTAGTGTACTTTAAAATCAACATGTGACCTTGGTAAACTACGTTGATAAAAAAAAATTGTGTACTATTCATGCAGGAATATACGATTAATTGAACAAGTGTTCAACTTAAATTGTAATAGAAGAAAGGAAACAAGCAATGACCTGTAAAATGTGAGCATTCCAAAACATCCTGATTTGGAAAGTTGGTGTTCATGAGTCGATTCAGTACAAATAGTACTCCAGCCTTCAGTTCAACATTGAATTTCAAATCGCCAATAATTGCAGTTCCATCCAAGTACAGTAGTTAAATTAATTTAAGGTATATTGTACAGTCAACATTTCTAGCCTAAATACTGTACTGTGTTATTGAATTATAATTTATTATGTCATTTTAAAGTAACAAGGCTGAGATCATTATCAACTTCGTGCTCATCACCTTACAACAATCTCATAATTTAGCAGCCCAACTTACGAGTTTCGATGACCTAAGCAAATTAATTTTTTTGCCATTATCAAGAGGCACAAACATTCTAGATACAAACAGATTTTGAGGGACTATTTTTGCAGTATCTGTTAGGCTTGGTAATGTGTGGTACCACCACTACCACAAAAGTACAGAAAGAGATCAAATATTGATGTCAGAAGGATGTCCAAGATTTGTACTTCAATGTGTGTGGTCGTAATCAAAATATTCGGTATCTATTAATCAGAAAACGACAGTTATGGGATGGCAAATGAGTTGCACCTGTTACATCACTGTAGGCCTGCCATTTTTATACTTGAAGTCTTCTTACTGACTTATTGTCAGTCATATGACACACTCAACTGCCCTCCAACTCACCTGCCATGACAAACTTGGCTGCCTAGTACATTATTGGAGCATACAAGCCTACCTGCCATAAGGCAAAACCCAAATGGGGAGTTCTTTTAATCATTTGAGATGCCTAAAAACAAATGCAAAAATAGTACTCCAGTCTTTACTTTCTTGATCAGCAGTTCAATCTACTGGGAACATCACCTGGCAACAGGACATGCATGCAAAAATGAAGGTGCAGCTTCAATTTTTATTGACACGACACTGCTTTAGGTCATTCCCGGGGACTAAAATTTTGTTATAAAAATACAGGCGTTCAAGATATTTCATGGAAGTAATTGAAAAGAAAGATAATCTATAACGTGGCCAAAAATTTAAGGTACAGTATAGTATTGCTACTGTACCTAATTAATAATTAGCCGGTTTGACCATCATGTAAGAGAAACAATAGCAAAAGAATTTAAATACAGTATATAGATTGCAATAGTACAGCATTAAAAAAAATGGGAAAACATCATTTCATGAACAGGTAATCTTGGGAAGAAACTGTTGCCAATCAATTGAGGCTGGAATATAAATAGTAGTGTAAGGCATCCATCAGTCTCAGGAGACTATGGTGTTGTGCTCTGGTTGTTGGTCTGGAGTGACCTCACCAGGCCGCAAAGCCAGGGTAGGTTGATATGGAGAAGAAGCTATTATGCAGGCAGCAGGTCCCCCTCTCCACAGCACCAAAAATCTCCAATGGAAAGGCAAAAGCCAATATGATTGGTTCCAGCACCGTCGCAGGAACTGTGAGTTCCAGGGTTGACCTCGAAGTTGGTGAAAAAAGGCACAGGAACTCCAAAACCGGAGACCACTGTGGTCAGAGCCAGAGAAAAAGCACCCCATCAAGGGCAAGAATGACACCAGCCAACTGAAGCTTGGGCCGCACGAGCCCCAGGAGGTGGACGTCTCGGTCCCACACCTACAGGTTCCAGACAGATTGTCACAGCCCATAGGTGCTGTGACGATCACAATCCCTATACGGAATATAAATACCGTATAACAAATACTTGGCAAAAAGTGATGTCCCACAGCAGTGCTTTTAAGGGCAACTAAAATAAGAACTATACATTTATACACCACCTTACTACAGTAGTTACTTAACTGATTTTATTGCTACTAATACAACTGAACTTACTCTAGCAGATGGTGCAATATGTAAAAATAAATTAATTGGAAGGTAAATAACTATATTATATACTGTAAAGTTCTAGTTATTTAATGAATATCAATACTACACTACTGTAAGTACAAAATTGAAGAAGACACTGGCATTTACACACAGTGCAATAGTATAATGTGCCATGGATTCCTAGTTAAGAAAGGCTCAAGCAGTTGTCACAATTTATCTCTAATACACACAAAAAACAAAAAATTCACTGAGTGCAATACTATTCTTGCTCATGTTAATTGCAATCTTAAGCTTAAATGCATCTACGTAAATACACGTTGATAATGCTTACACATTTAATGATACCTACTTAACAATTACAAAACATACATTTACAAAGTAAAGATGACCTGTGAATAAGAATAATGAATGTTATAAAAAATGCACCACTGCATACAAAAGAACCAAAAGCACACACACTTAAGGAATATGAACACTTTATTTAGAAAACTATCACTTGTTAACTGTACTGTCAATTATCATTTCACCTGGAGAAAATGATTTAATTATACAGCATACATCAAAATTGGTTCATAAAGCCAATTTTTTTTAAGCTACTCTTTATGATCACTTACGGAAGCAATGCACTTGATCTGTACTATAAACTCTCCCAATTTTCTAATTTTACATACTTAACCTTTTTATTTGTTGACACTTGTTATGCTTAAAAATTAATTTGCAAATATTCCAGTTTGCACATTAAATAGAACAGTTAATGAAAAAATACTGAAGCAGTATAATGTGATAAAACCTGCATCCCTGCATTCCTCAGGTACTCTGTCGTACCACTTCATTTTCTCATATCACATTCATAGATATATCTATGAACATATGATATATATATATATGATATATATATATATATATACTGTATATATATGTGTGAGAAGGCTGCATGAACGCGCAAGCCATATATCACTAAGATCTCTTTGACCCGGCCAGGATTTGAATTTCCACTGTATATATATATATATTTTCTCTCTATATATACATATATCTATGAGAAAATATACCTATCACATTCTTATGATTTCATTGTATAGAGCAATTAACCAGATACCTCCAAGATTACTCCTTTACTTAACTAGTCCATAGTACGGTATTTGTAGCCAGAAACTAGAAATATATTTCATTTGAGGTCTCCAGGCAATTAATGTTTACCTTACTGGTATTCTTAATAATCTCTGCTAGTACCAGGTCATGGCTAATATTACTTCGTGGGGTACGACTCACCCCTGCCAACATAATGTGAAAGTACAGTATAGAGGCAAAGTAACATCACAATTCCGATAAAACCGCTGGAGCTAAATATAGACAAAATAAAAAAGCAGAAATATACTACACATCTTTAAGCTACAATACAAAGTTTATGTTAAAGTTAAAGACTATTATTAACAAGAATAAATTTGCTCATTAGGCTTACCATGAGTAAAGAAATTCTAAGAATGAAGATTATTAATATTATCTATTAATTCATGGTATGAAAGTGTATAATTATAACTTTTGTTTAGCTGCTTCTCATTCAAAGTAGCGGTTTCTTTATGAAAACCGATGTAAAGTAACCTTGGTATGGAGGTGATATGAAAAACTGACGACAAAAGCAAGTCTTCTCAACACACAGCAGTAAGAATCTCGGCAGATAACCTGATACCTCATAACTAGTGTGGAAAAGAGGAAAAAAATCCAAATTGGGAGGTGAACCTGGTATTCAGTTGATATTTTCACTCACACACACACACACACTACATACATGTATATCAAATGGTTAATACAACTTACATAGTTTTCCCTAACACTAAATTTATCTAAGTTTAAACATTTATATTTTGGCACTACAAGAAAGACCTAACTTAGGAACATTTTGAAAATACAATATACTGTATTTCTATAAGAAGATACAGTATACAGTTACAAATATGTACCTGCCTAGTTTTATTACTAAGCAAACCACAAGTTTTACGACTTAACCAAATACAGTATCTACAGAACGTCTCGGTAAAAAAATAAAAATAAAAAAATTATATGCATGCATGCACTTGTACATCACATCGTTATATTAGAGAGTGAGGTAGGCTCTTACAGAGTCATCACACACTACAAGAAACGCATTTCTTAGGAGGGATACAAATCCCAAAAGCCTGAAGAGAGCTATGCCAAGAGGCAACATTCTGGTAGTCAATACATTATGATGGCCGAATTTAAATTACAATAAAGCTACCACAGTACAATTCCCTTTATAACCATTATGTATATTTAGCTTGCATTATTTATTTTAAAGTCTTGTAACAGCAAGAACATTTGTCAAATAATATACTAAAGAGTAAATTACTCGCTCCTTTTCATTATGTTGAGTAGAGAGAGAGAGCGCAGTGGTGGCTTGAAAGCAACAAATACGCAACATCTTGGTAACACCAACATCTGGGAGCATGTCCCAGGTACTGAGTGAGAGACATATGTTACAACAGGTGCTGCCAGTATGTGCAATTGTTTATTGCAACCAGAAAAAACGGGGATTTACTGTTCACCGCTAATCTTTCTTCTTTGGCTTTTTGGGGTTGCGTGATCGTGACTTAGCCTTGCACAATGGACAAATGGGAGCATTGCGATGAATCTGCTGGTGACAGCTGAGGCAGGACTTCATGGGCGGTGGTTGTTGCCTGTGTTGAAATATATATATATTAAGCACTTGCATTTAAATAATGCAGCAAGATAAATTAATAATAAAATGTACTGTGAAATTCTTACTTCAACATTTCAATCATTTAAATATTTTATGTAGTGACTTAGCTTCCAATATTTACATGCATTTTAAATAAATATTTTTATTCAAACAAAATAACTGCAACCACCTAAACTAAACTACAGTAATAAACTATTGACTTGTAAATAAGTTGGTAACAAATTTAACTTTGAATTTTTGCATACCAATACCTAAAAGCTGGAGTAGGTGGCCCTGGAGGAGGAGGCAGAGGTCTTTGATCTGCTTTATGAGGCGTGGCTCGGAGAGGCGTAGGCATGGGAGCCGAGGGGGACAGGAAGGAGGGCGGGGCACTCATGGCACCAAGAGAAGACAAACTAAGACCACCACCACGAAGATCATCATGGTCCATGCTCCACTCCACTCCTGCTTTCTCAAAGAAGCTGAAAATAAAAGTAATGACTCATAATTCTACATTACTCCCCCAAAATAAAGGATTTATGTACAGTATTAAAGAACTTTTAGAGCATGGACCAGGAATGGTTCAATTGCTATGGCCATTAGCAGGTACAGTAGTTTATTGTGCACCCCATACTCATCCTGAAAGCATTAAATGATTACACAAGGCACAAAATAGGTTGTAATTAAACCCCAGTGGATGTTGACATTGATTTTTACAATTTATATTTACCAATAATACTTAATTATATTGTTAGCTGGCAAAAGAATATAATAAAATAATTTGTAACAATATAATATTACACAACAGATGTTACTGGGCAACAGAGATGTTGCTGATAAGAGATTGGAGGATACACAGTTTACAATTTCATCACATTTACTTTCTTTATCTACTAGAAACACAATACGGATACAGTGAAAGAATTTCAGCTACAATATTTTATCACTAAAGTGATCTTTATCATATAACAATAAAGTGATTTGCCATTTCATGTAACGTAAGTTTAGATCAATCTCTACACGACACAAAGTTCACACAAATTTAAGATGCAATGATCTACTGTAGTGCATGTCCCGGTATTTGTCAGCACACGTTACATTTCAAGTGATCCAGATCCCCCATACAAACTGACCCGCCAGAGATACACATAGCCAAGTCACATTCAAGCTGTGACAGCATCTAATAGTCTGCTGATTTTCTTACTGGCCCCATAAAAATAAGTTTTTTTGATACATTTCATTTTGATAAACAATAGATCTACTAGTTCCTGTTTGCTCTCTCCTGCTTTCTTTAAATATATCATTCTCATCTGATGAGACTTTTTAAGCTTCTATTCATTAGCCCAAAATTATATTCAGAATCCCATTTAGCATCTTTTGAACAGATTCTTGTTGAAAAATGCAAAGACTGACATTAGATAAGAATAAAAATTAAGTTTTATTGAGAAATGTTAAGAAAGGAGGGAGTGGGAGGGAGAAAGAGGAAGGGAGATGGGCAGGAAGAAAATAAAGAAAGAGACTGGGAGAGAGGGGGGAAAGAATGCAGGAGAAAGAAAGGGGAAGAAAGAACGGGGGGAGAAAAAATGTTGAAGGAGATGGGGGGAGAAAAAATGTAGGAGGAGATGGGGGGAAGAGAGGGATGGGGGGAGAAGAGGGAGGGAAGAGAGAGGAACAATGAGGGAAAGGGCTAGGGCAATCTGCCTATCAAAACAGCTAACATTGTACTTACTCTGGTGGAACAGGGTCATCTTCAGCTGTTAAATTTGGTAGATTAAGGTCATGTCCTAACTGCTGTGTGGCCAAACGGCTGACCTCCTGCTTAAGGGGATGGTACTCATCATAGAGCCGTCTTGCATGCTCTAAGCTTTTATTACGCAGGTCCTCCGCTGATTTTATAATGCTTTCCATCTGTGGAGAGGTTTGTGCTGAATTTTTTATAGTCAAACTCAATGATCCAAACACCTAAAGTTCAGCAACGTCCAAAAATTTAGACATTTTATCATATCTGGTCAAATCCAAAATTTTGCCAAAGTTTGGATAGTTTGGAAAGTCGAATCTGGACATCATCCAAATGTTCAGCAGTAATAAATCACTGCAGGGAGAATATGTTGGTAGGTCCACCCTTTATTAATAATGAATATTCAAAATACTATGTAATATTTATTATAACAAGAAAAAGGTTTGCAAGAACATTATACAAACAAGGGAAGGAATGATTAAGAGCATGTGTGTGTGTTTTATGCTAAGTTGTATACGTGTATATACCTCATACATTTAGCAGAAATGACCTAACTCCACAATATAATTTCTTGAATAAAATGAATGTATGTGTGTGTGTACATATGCATAATATACATTCTGGGTGCTTGAGATGGTCCCAGTTATTTAGATGGGGGAAAAGAGAGGTGGCTGGAACGGCAAGCAAGTCAGGGAATATGTGGGGTGGATGGGAGCGTGTGGACTTTTAGGTAACAGCTGGTGCTGCCATATGCTGTAGAAGGGAAGAAGCAGGTGCTGGATTTTTGTATTTGTTTCTAGGGTATTCAGAGCTTATCATTGGTGTTTACTATAAGACATGAATTTAAGACTTCAAGTTCTTGTCTTCTAAGCTAAATTTATGCATTCTCCAGTGATTCCCTAGCATGTAGACTTCATAATAAATGATAGGTTGGCAAAGCTTCATCACACCATCTGAGTCAATGAAGCATATGAAAATAAGTAACTGTTTTGGTTTCTCCTGGACTTCCTTATACAGTACTGTACTGTAATTCATTTTGTAGGGGACAGGAAGTTGGTGTACACATATGCTTTAGGCTTGTATTGATGTTCTTCCAAGGTTGAATTACTTACCCTTCCCAGGATGCAACTCCCACAAACAGTTGCCCATTTCCCGGGTACCTATTTACTACTAGGTGAATGATAAATTAGGTGAAATGAAATGTGCCCGACTACTTCTATTCTGCCCAAGAATTGAACTCCTGGATTCCCATTCGAGAGTCAAGAATAAAGCCAACCGTACTTCGAGACCCCTCACCAAATCACGAACTGTCTAAAATGGACCGAATAGTTGTCACTCCCCCCCCCCCCCATACAGTATGTGGGGGGTTGGGTTAATTCATTTTCAGCCACACTATTGTGACTCATTCTCTGCACTGAAGGCATGGCAAGCAATAAGCCAATTTTTGTTCATATATACAAAATATGACTAAGAAATATGGTAAATGGAGATCATTTTTTTTTTTTTTTTTTTTTACAAATTAGCTAAAAAAGAGCATCATCAATACAGCAAAGATGAACTGTTCCAGGATATGGTTCTTTGACTTTTCTGTGAGCCCCAATGAGCTTGTGAATCGTGTTTGAACACAAAGCATTTTATAATTTTTATAAGATCTTATTTAGATCTATTCACTAGTGCTCTCACTATATATGGTACATTAATATATTATTATGAAATGGTTGGGCACATTTCCTATCACTTAATGCATCTGTTCACCTAGCAGTAAGCAGGTACTCGGGAGCTAGTCAGAATGTTGTGGGGTTGCATCCTGGGAGGGGTCAGTAATTTGACCTTGTAGGTGGGGGGGGAGGGAGACCTCAATATAAGCCTAACATGTATGAATACACTCTGGCTGGCTGCCTGTCCCCCCCCCCCTCCAACACAATGAATTAGTATTATCATTATGCTTATGAACATTTGTATCATGAACTAACTGCATTGATATCAGCATGAATTTGCCGTAGTTCTTCTACATGGGCCATCTTCTCTTGTAGCAACAGCTCCATCTCGGCCCTGTACTCAGCAAGACTGGCCTCCTCTGCCTGCACCACTTCCACCTCCTGGGCTAATCTGCCTCGCAGGCGTTCCACTGCTACAACTTTGGCCCTGAAAAAATATTGTCATATTTTTATATATAAATTTTAACAAGATATGCTTTGGCTGTATAGCCAACCAAGAGAAGTATTCCTAAGAAAAGTGGTGTGATGAGACCAGATGCAATAAGTACCAAAAGAACAATGAGTATACAGTAGTGAGTATGAGTATAACAAGTACAAGGAATATGCAAGAGTATGTAATGGATATGTGCACCTCCAAGTCCACATATGCAAGCTGCTGCATATGTGGTCTTGCAAATATGTTCAAAGCAACAGCTTGTTGGACCAAGCTGTTACGAGTAAAGCTCCTCAGGCCAGCCTTGGGGAGTAGAAGAACTCCTAGAAAATACTCCAGGTAAGATAGAGCATAATGAACCAAGGTAGAGTGAAGAAAGTGCTTAGAAGTACAACACAGAATATAATGAGTTAAGGGAGTATAGTAAAATGGGTTCTGAAATACTGTATAATGAGGTTAGGGAATTAGAGAATAATGAGTAAAAGGAACATAATTAGTTTTGAGAATATTATGAACATAAAGTATTATAATACAGAAAGTAAACTAAGTTCAGGGAGCAAAATTAGTTAAGACATAATATTTTCTGTAAGTAAAAATAGTTTAATGGATTATAATGGGTGCAAAAGTTATAATATTATGAGTATAATGATTATAAATAGTAGAATGAGCAAAGGCTGGTTCATGGAGTAGCAGGTGCTGATGGTGGTTCGAGAGGAGAGGAGAGATGGGGGAGGAGGAAGAGGGGGAGAGGAGAAGAGAAAGGAAGAGAGAGAAGACGACAAGCTGCAGGATTCCTGTCCTCATCGTCGCCTCTAGAGAAATAATGGCCTCACATGAATTCAGTTAATATACAGTACCTGGGCAGGGCCAAGATGTCTGGACATATTTCCTTTCATCTAATACCTCTGTTCACCTAGAAGTAAATACAGTAATGCTAAATAGGTATTCAAGAGTTAGACAACAAGATGTAGAATGCCTCCTGTGAAAGGTCAATTGCTGGCCTATGGGACTAAATTCTAAAAGGCTTCCTGTCTTCCGACAATGAAAAACAAACAAAATAGGCACCGTACTGTAAATAAAATGGTATCAGTATATATAACCAATCCGTTCATTTAAGCACAGCTTTAGGAACGCAAAATAGAACCGATTTGAAGTATTTTCAAACTAGAATTTGAAACATTTTTGTAAAATAAAACAGCTGAGAACGATTAAATTCAATCAAAAGTAAGAGCCATGTCATTTATCTTGCAACTATTTATCATACTATCAATAATATATATTTAAAAGTATACTCTAACATATAATCTACTTATTAATATCAATTACATTACCTTATATCCTTTAAGGCCTCTAATTTCATATAAACTGCCCGGTCTCGCTCGTCTGCCATTCCTCCTGACATGTTTGGTAAACAACTCTGGGCTCAAGCGACAATCTATCATATTAACATAAAACAATTAAACAAATTTAATATTATATACAGGCATTCTAATATTAAAGGATGACACTGACAAATATTTGTAATAGTTTTATATATGAATCTTTTATTCAATAAATTACATTCTGGATAAAAGTCTTGCTTCTGAGGATTTGCCATTTATCTTTGAAAGAAATTAGTTTTAGACATTTAAAGGATAGAAATAGTAGATAAATATATTTTATATTAAAGTTGAGACATAGTTCGTGATGAATATATATAAATGTTAGTTTGTTAATCAACGTTGTGTGTGCATAGCAGCCTTAAAAAATTATATTGCAATGCTGTAAAATGTATATATTAAATATACTATACCCAGAGTATATAATAACAAACATTATTTGTATTCTTATTATTGTTGTTATTATAATGCGGGCTGTAATTATCATTAGTAGTATAGACGTTGAGTTGAGGTGGTGGTGGTAGCAACAACAACAGATCCTCCCAGAGTTCCTCTCAGGTCACGAGCATAATCCTCACCGGCGCTCTCATCATGCAAGTTCACCTCGCCCTCCTCGCCCTCCTGGGGCTCTTGGCACTCTCCCCAGTCTACTCTCAAGGTACGTAGGCACCATTGGCACCCTGGGCCGGGAGAGAAGCACTGCGGGGTTCAATGGTATGACTTACTTCATCATGTCGCTGGGGGAGGTTCTGGGAATTATTGCGTCATACTGATCGTTCAGCTGCATATTAATTAACTATTCTCTCCTATATTTAACGTTGTGAGGATAGATAATGACAATAGATATAATATTTTATTTGAATGGGTTTTCTGGAAAGGCTATATAGGAAAACTTGTGCACTTCATTAGTTTGCTTATCTTCTCTTATGCTGTGTTTTCTTAAATCTCAAAAAGTCCAAGTTGTTGGGCACCATTCCTTTCCCCTCTGTCCCATCACAAATCCTTATCCAGATCCCCTTCCAAGTCCTATACAGTTGTAATGGCTTGACGCTTTCCCTTGATAATTCCTTCCTGCCTTCTTAAATCTCAAAGTAGGTTTTGGTACGTGGAGCAGTGGCTGTTGTGTGATATGGATGCATTTTTTTATGGGGTTCTATGAATGGTTGTACGACACTTGTAACTGGCGTGTGAGCTAGGTCATTACGCTTGCATTTTAAGGTAACGTTCTGAATGTGGAGATAATGGTGGATATCTTAGGGTGAAGTGCTTTGGATATATAAAATGTACGTTATACATATATAAAAGGTTATTTTATAGCAAGAGGAGATTTTTTTTAAGTATACTGCTCTGTAGAAAAATTTGTTATGCATCTACCTCTGTGTTAGTATATTAGCATATACTGTATTACAAAAAAAATAATGATTAGGCTTTAGGGTCATTGGTAAACTATGATTTTTGTATAGAGCAGTGCATTGTATTGTCAGTTTACTGTATAGAACAAGGATATGTGTTCATGGTTTGATGGAGCTGGCCACTACATCTGATTTATTGTATGGAGCTTGGCACTATTGGTGGTTTAGGGAAGAGTCATCTGTTTCAGACGTTGCCATCTTCTGAACAGCCTCACCCTATGAAAAAGTATTCTTCCCATGACCAAGAGATAGCAGCACAGTGTGTGTGTGTGTGGTGATGTTTTAGTACCTGATTTGTTTGGTTCTAGTTCATATCTTATGCTTAATTTTTGTGCACTTCCCATTTAATTTCTTGTGAAGTCTGTCATAATCTTTAGTAAAATATAAATATGCTAGGCATGTCTAAAATAAAAATTAGTGATTAATGTACAATACATTATTGTATATTATAGATATTTGTATTATCTCGTGTAAATTCCATATTTATATGTCGAGCCTGGCCCTACGCTGGGCTCGGGGAGTAAAGCTCCTCCCTGAACCCCCTCCAAGTGAGCTCCAGGTATATTTTTTATATCCTGATATAAATTTATGCAATTGGAACATTATGGATGGTTGTCTGGTACATAACGTCAGTGATTTACTACAGTAATATGATACTTATACATATACTGTAATAAATAATTACACTATGTATGCAAATAATGACAGGACAGTGCTCCCTGGAAAATTTGAATTTCAGTATAACAACCCATCTTCCTGTTTAGGAGGATAGGCTGTTTATTATTTATTGATGTAAAAGACAATCTGAAGGTAGAAATCGGTAATATTGAATTTAGACAAACCGGAAATGTTTTCGTGCTGATGTTGTAAAGAAAACTTAACCTAACCTTCCTAGGTTTACCTTGAAGTGTTTCCGGGGCTTAGCGTCCCTGCGGTCCGGTCATCAACCAGGCCTCTTCGTTGCTGGACTGGTCAACCAGGCTGTTTGATGAGGCTGCTCGCAGCCTGACCTATGAATCACAGCCTGGTTGATCAGGTATCCTTTGGAGGTGCTTATCCAGTTCTCTCTTGAACACTGTGAGGGGTCAGCCTTTGCAAACAGAGTTGTAGAAGGTTAGAACAAGTTAAGTGGGAAGGTGATGGATCCCAAAAACCATCATTAGTTTGTCATATGACAAAGATTATTGGAAAGATGGGACACCACGAGCATATAGGTCTTGTCCTTTAACTATGCTTTGGTAGTCACACTTAAATAATTACATTCACACCCAGTCACTCCATACCCTCACACATTCACCCAGCATGATACACTGGCTTCATGTCTCGATTCATTCATATCTCGTATCTTGGTCCTGTTTGGTAGCTCTGGTCTGCTTTGGCTTTTCTCAGGGTTAGTACTCCATTTGAAATTGCAGACATCTTGCAAACGATTGGTTAGAGTTGCACAGACCCTCCTTGAGCTGCATCAGCCCCTGCATACGCTGGAACACGAATACTCTTGTTCTTTGCGAGGGGCAAGGTGAAATGCACTAAATGTATTACAGTGGAAGCCTCTGCCATCTAGAGGTTGAAGATCAGTTACAATAATGAACTGGAGCATCAAGAAATTTACCATGTATACTGTATACATGTAATGCCTGTATGCTTACCCCCATCCTAACCTGCCTCCCCTCACTACCACCTGATTCTCCCTGCCCCCCCCCCCCATCCCTCACCACTACCTGGCCCCAACAGCCCCCGACCACTACTTGGCCCCCTACCCACCACTACTTGCCTCTCTCCCCACCACTACTTGGCCCCCTACCCACCACTACTTGCCTCTCTCCCCACCACTACTTGGCCCCCTCCCCACCACTACTTGGCCCCCTCCCCCCAGCCTCCACTATTTCTTGCCTCAACCACCTCTACCTGCCACCCCTCCCCCCAGCCTCCACCTCTACCTGCCCCCCCCCCCCTCCATCCCCCACCTCACCACTATCACCCCACACCTACCTGTTTTGCTTTTCTCAGTATGTTCATATATTGTACAGTATATGTAGGAGGATAATTTTCTTTCTTTAAAATACTGTACTGTATTCATGATATGGGTTCTATTGTATATCTCCCCCAATCTGTTGCATTTGAAACAAATCTACTTGTAATTTTGCATATAATTTATTCTTTGTGCTAATTGCATAATTTTCAGATAACTGCACAACCATTGACTCGTGTGAGGCATGTACTTCTAGCCATTGCAACTGGGTACAGTGTTACAACATGCCTTCGAGTTGCCAGGCAAATGAACCAGCAGAGGGCTGTCAATTGATTTCTTGTAGGTAGTTCCTATTGAGAATTGCTCTTAACACCTCTTGCGCCAACCTCTCTTGGGCCTTTAGCATGAAGCATGCATGGTTGGGGCTGTTCTATCAGCATGTGTCCTTATAACTCTGGTATGGTTTACTTCGCATTGAGGAATGGTTTAATCATGATCGACAATTAATATGGATTACTGTTCTTTAATTTACTGCCTCTTATGTACTTTTATTTTTTCCTTGCTGTTTTAGCCTAAAAAATATAAAGTTTTGTTGCCTTGATAAGCATTAACTCGATATTACATATTAATGAAAATGGTATATAACATTACAGGGATATAATGCCTGTCATGGTGGCATTTGGTGAAGGGCAGAATACTTAATAAATTGTTTATTGTATGACGAAAAAAATAGGTGTTGGTGCAGTCTCTCTCTAGGCAGATGGAATGCCAGTCACATAAAAAAAAAGAAAAAAAGATGAAAGAAAAGGAAAAAATAAGTTAGACTGCAAGTTGTCTTCACGGTGAGGTAACTGTAGGATAAGACAGGGAAAAAACATTTAAAAATACTTTACTTTGATAGAAAACTGACGTTGAACAAATTACAAAACATAAAATAATATCCAGGCTTGGCTCTAATACAAAGTGTGCAAAACAAACAAGATGAACAATCAAATTTATGTTACGTTAATGTGCAAATAAAATATGGTGCTAGAATACTTTGAGCCAGACTGAATAACTGTTACCACACCGGGGTATGTCAACAGGTCTACTCAGTAGAGCGCTCAGGAGTAATCTGAATTGTGGTGGGCTAGGTAGCCCTATATATATGGAATGGCAGCCGTCTAGGTGGCGCTGGTAGTCGTGGATAACTAGGAACCGGCTCACGTTAACTGCTTGTTTCGGCCGATGGTGTGAGCTCCCGGCGACCAGGTGAGGTGAGGTGACGGGCCGTGGTGTAGGGGGGGAGACTGGTGATACTGTCTAGACATCTGGAAAGTATCTGTTGTTGCTCTTGTGGCTGCAGTTCTTGAATATATAGACGTGATATAAAATATGTGATGATGGAGCAGGCTGAATCTCTTCCTAGAGATTTTACCGTGACAATTGATTACTCTTAGGGAAAGAATACTGTAATTATATTCTGTAAAGTATTAATTTATTCAAAAAGATATCTGAAGAATTATTGTATAATTTCTGTGAAGGAAATATAGTTTTCCTAGATATAAATGTATAGCACTTTGGAAATTTTAGTGCCAAATGTAGGTAAGAAAGATGATAATCGATTGAACGAGAAAAGTTTAATGAACCTGAGTAATACGTTGGAGGTAGTGTACCTTTCCTACAGAAGATATGGTATAACACTAAAGATAATTAAATATTAAATTTTCTCTAAGAAAGATGGGTGCCAAAGACAACACAAATTTTCTTAATTTCCAAGAATAGGAAAAGCCCAAATTCTGTACTGTAGGTTAACTATTGCACTGCGCAGAGTGCCTTAAGGTGCCCGATCAGGGGTGTTCAGAGTGCCATATGGCATTTTTAGGTATAGGGAGCAATTCAAAACTCCTGCAGGTACATGGGGCTCACATCCTGTGCCTCAGGATTCCTGTAAACAGATGCATCTTGAAAAAAAAGGTGTCAGCATCTGTGCTGGCTGTGAGAGCCTTAGTACTGAGAGAGCGACCAAGACTGTCGCATGCAGGAGCCGTGCACAGCACCGCTGTGCAGTTAGGGGCCACAGCACCACTTGGTACTGAATAAAATACTGCAACAAATTATTTTGCGTTGATAGTGCCATAGATGATCCTGACTGTGATAAAGACTACGTACAACATTCAGGTATCGGTGAACACACTGCTAGTTATGATAGTCACAGCATGAGGTACTGACACAGCACCAAGCCAATGTTTCCTGCATCTACGCATCGTGAAGAGACTTGTGTTTCTTCACTAATGTTCACTTTCTTATGGAAATGGATTCATATTCAGGATTTTATGACAGGAATGTGATGATAACAACAGTTTTGTAGTTAGTCATAGTGAGATGTGTAGAATATTGGAGGCATTGTCTTGCATCATGTGACTGCTGGCGTCGTCTGCTTGTGGCTTCATGCTGTGTTTTGATCACCACCACACCCACCAGAACTGCTTATTAGTATGTTATGGTGCATATACATGTTGATAGTGATATACAGTATAACATGCATATATAGTGTAACAGGAACACTGTTTGCTTGATCTAAGAGTATATGTGTGTGGCACCATATATGAGCTCCATATTTTTGAGAATAGTGATGTTCCACACATTTAACTATATACATTCCATATATTACACACTTTTGAATAATATTACTGCAAAAAACTAGATATATAGCCATTCACAGACACTGAAATAATTACGTAAAAATGATTTGGAGCAGCCCCTGCCACACTCGGCTGTCGGCCGCTTTGCTGTTCTATGTATATAAACTCAACACATGATCTTTGTGGTTCATTATGGTGCACAAAAATGTAGATAGTTACATACAATGTGTGTATACTGTAATAACAGCAAAAACACTGATTGATCATAGAATGTAATATACATGTCACATTTATAGACCTGTATCTTTGACAAGTGTAATAGTCAAAATATTGGAAAAAATAATTAAAACTAAATGGGTAGAACACCTGGAGAGAAATGATACAATATCAGACAGACGGTATGGTTTTCGTTCTGGAAGATCCTGTGTATCGAATTTACTCACTTTCTATGATCGAGCCACAGAGATTTTACAGGAAAGTGATGGTTGGGTTGACTGCATCTATCTGGACCTAAAAAAGGCTAACGACAGAGTTCAGAGGTCCACATAAGAGGTTGCTCTGGAAACTGGAAAAATTTGGAGGAGTGACAGGTAAGCTACCTTACCTTGAGGTGCTTCTGGGGCTTAGTGTCCCCGCGGCCCGGTCGTCGACCAGGCCTCCTGGTTGCTGGACTAGGAGCTAAAGCTTCTAACATGGATGAAAAATTTTCTGACCGATGGAAAAATGAGGGCAGTAATCAGAGGCAATGTATCAGACTGGAGAAATGTCACAAGTGGAGTACCACAGGGTTCAGTTCTTGCACTGGTGATGTTCAGTGTCTACATAAATGATCTATCAGATGGAATACAGAATTATACGAACATGTTTGCTGATGATGCTAAGATAATAGGAAGGATAAGAAATTTAGATGATTGTCATGCCCTTCAAGAAGACCTGGACAAAACAAGTACTGTATATGGAGCACCACTTGGCAAATGGAATTTAATGTGAATAACTGCCTAATAATAAAATTAGAGATCTGTTAAATATATAGTTCAGCGACTTATTGAACAATCGACCACTGAAAGTGATTGTAGTGGCCGGTGACGAGTCCTGGGTGGGGCCATGCAGGAGGCTCTAGCTTGGGCACCATTTGAGGGGATTGCTTAGAAATGAAGTATTTAAATATGCTTAATACCCTGTTTTAAGTTAGAAAACTTTTGGTATTGTGAAAAATCTATGCACGTCTATTTTACAGGCATGCAGTTTTACCCTAATGTAAAGGTTGTTGAAATTTCTGGTTTGATTCAACAATATACCATACTGCACAAAGAAACAAATGCTTTATTAGTTACTCCAGAGCAGTTTCTGATGGGAAAGAGGCTATGAGTGCTTGTCATTGTTATTACTTCTGTTCTCACTTAAACGAGGTAGGGAGGCATTTATCCAGAGAATATAAGTACTTCTGTAATGCAGTATGTATCTTTATAGTGGGAAAGGCATTCAAAACTATGCTTTTCTCTTCACACAACTTTCTGCACTTGGCAACATGGAAAACCTTCAACATTAAGTCATCCACAGCAGTATCTTGGTTTGTGTGTGTGTGTGTGTGTATTACATAATGCATTTATCATGCTAATTTTCTTCTACCCAGGTACGAAGAATGTTACAACAACCGAGCCCCCGACTACAACAACCGAGCCCCCGACTACAACAACTGAGCCCCCAACTACAACAACTGAGCCCCCGACTACAACAACTGAGCCCCCGACTACAACAACTGAGCCCCCAACTACAACTACTGAGCCCCCAACTACAACAACTGAGCTCCCAACTACAACAACTGAGCTTCCAACTACAACAACTGAGCTCCCACCTACAACAACTGAGCCCCCAACTACAACAACTGAACTCCCAACAACCACAACCCCAGAAGCACCCACTACAGGTACTTTTTTAGCTAGACCACATGGCTTCTTCCTGAGGCGTACTTGTTAAAACATGACCAAATACTGTAACTACCAGGAGCCAGATTCACGAAGTAGTTACGCAAGCACTTACGAACCTGTACATCTTTTCTCAATCTTTGGTGGCTTTGTTTACAATTATTAAACAGTTAATGATCTCTGAAGCACCAGGAGGCTGTTTCTAACAATAACAACAGTTGATTGGGAAGTTTTCACGATTGTAAACTGTTTTATAAATGTAACCAAAGCCGTCAAAGATTGAGGAATGTTATACACGTTTGTAAGTACTTGCGCTTCGTGAATCTGGCCCCAGGTCATGAGTCTTCATTCTTTCAGGCACCTCGGCCAGGTCATAAGTAGGGGTAGCGAGACTGAAAATTTTTCAATCCAGCCCATAATAAAGATAATTTTATTCATAAGAATGTGCTTACAAAAATAACATAAGATGAGGGGATAATTGTACATGCAGGGGTTGCATGCAACAGTGAAGCCACTGGTATGTACAGTGTTATACTAAAACCTCTTCCAGGCAGCATTTAGTCTCATTGAGATCACTAAGTGTATCTGTTAATTACTAATTACCACCTGCCTGCTACTCCAAACTACCACTAGTATCAGCACCTATTCTGTTAGCAGAGTAGCAAAGAGTAACCTACCTCACCCATCTTAACTTTTGCAGGCCAAACTATCCAACCAGCTAAAGGAATACATATTCAGTTAAATGAGTTGTTTATCTAGTAAAGTGTCGTTTCCTGTGTGTTGGGCTCCAAGTTATTTAGTGGATGTTTACATGTGTGTAATGAGGATATTCTTGCATCTCTACTTTTCACCAACCGGTGCTTCAGAGTTTTTAGCTGTTTCGGCTCATTCCTGGACTGTAGTCATCATCCTGTAGAGCTTCGCCCTTGCTTTTACAGTTCCTTGGGATCTGGTCCCATGCTGAAGTATTAGTGTTGTTGATTAACTGTTGGCTATTTTGCGAGTTCTTTTACTCCTGTACCTAGCCTGTGACCAGCCTGCTTTGGTGATTGCTGGGTTTGTGAGGCCGTTTGTAGCTTGAAGGTCCACATAATTATCATAGTCAAGCTGATCCAGTAACTCCAGCAGAAATTTGTCTGCCCACAAACTTGGATTTGTTTGTCACATCGCCAGTGTGTATGTAATTACCTAAGTGTAATTACTTGGGTGTAGTTACAGGATGAGAGCTACGCTCGTGGTGTCCCGTCTTCCCAGCACTCTGTCATATAACGCTTTGAAACTACTGGCAGTCTTGGCCTCCACCACCTTCTCACCTAACTTGTTCCAACTGTCTACCACTCTGTTTGCGAAAGCGAATTTTCTTATATTTCTTTGGCATCTGTGTTTAGTTAGTTTAAATCTATGACCTCTCTTGTTCTTGAAGTTCCAGGTGTCAGGGATCTTCCCTATCAATTTTATCAATTCCTGTTATTATTTTGTACGTAGTGATCATATCACCTCTTTCCCTTCTGTCTTCTAGTTTTGGCATATTTAATGCCTCTAACCTCTATTCATAGCTCTTGTCCTTCAGTTCTGGGAGCCATTTAGTGGCATGTCTTTGCACCTTTTCCAGTTTGTTGATGTGCTTCTTTAGATATGGACACCATACAACTGCTGAATATTCCAGCTTTGGTCTAACAAAAGTCGTGAACAATTTCTTTAATATTTCGCCATCCATGTATTTAAAAGCAGTTCTGAAGTTAGAAAGTGTAGCATAGGCCCCTTGCACAATGTTCTTAATGTGATCCTCGGGTGTTTTCTATCTAGAACTACCTCTGGATCTCTTTCTTTATCAGACTTCTTTAAAGATTTTTCACATAATTTATAGGTTGTGTGGGGTCTATGTTCTCCTATTCCACATTCCATAACATGGCATTTATTTGCATTAAATTCCATTTTCCAAGTGATGCTCCATATACTTATTCTGTCCAGGTCTTCTTGAAGGGTATGACAGTCATCTAAGTAACGTATCTTCCCTATTATCTTGGCATCATCAGCAAACATGTTTATATAATTCTGTATTCAATCTGGTAGATCGTTAATGTAGAAAATGAACATCACCGGTGCAAGAACTGAACCCTGTGGTACTCCACACTCCACTTGTGACGTTTCTCCAGTTCGATACACTTCCTCTTATTACTGCCCTCATTTTTCTATGTCAGAAAATTTTTCATCCATGTTAGCACCTTACCTGTTACCTGTGTGTGTGTGTAATGATTCATCAATTATCTTTCAGGTGTCTCCTAATGGTGTAATATGATTTGTTTTTCGTTTGCTTCAGTCATGGTTGTGTCCATGCTCAGTCTTCATTTGTGATTGACAGGTTCATTAGGGTATACTGTGAACACACAGTTCTTGACAAGAACTCCTCTTCAGGCTTTATCCAGGGTAAAGGTCCTAGGACCTATTCATAGTTTTCACTTACATTCACTTGTATTAGATTAGACAAATACTGTACACTACAGTTTATTATTAAAAATAATACATGTAACTGAATTTATTAACATAATACTGCTAAAATGTAAATGTGATGTTTGCCCAAATCATGGCCATTCCAGTGCCTCCCATATCTACAATAAATGTTGATAAATGTGTATTATAAATACAGCATTTTCGTTATTCATAAGATGTCTCGCAGCAGCAGTGGTGGAACTGAAGGTGGTAAGAGAAATTGCAAACATATTGCCACTGAGCAGCATAAGAGTTGAGAAACAGGCGTGTGTGTGCCACACTCATCTTCTCGGTGAAGTTTGTAAACCTGGTTAGGAACGACTAGTGTTTTTTGTAAATTTTCAAATTGAATGTTGCGGTCTTTAACATTGGACCATTCATGATATAGTATAAAGAAACAGCAACAATAATTGTAAATTTATTATATGGAACAGGATTCTCCTTCTCCAAGTGCTAATTGAGCTCTACACCACTTAAAATATACATAATTGTTGGGTTAGTTTTTCTTTAAAATTTCACAAAGTGCCCCCCCCCCCCAAAAAAAAATAAGTATTTTAACTGCATTACCTAGTGTATATAGTAACTGTACAGTCATTACAATAGTAAATCAAATTCCTTCCAATTCATATTTGGCACTCTTGAGGATTATTAACTCTTCAACTGCTCCTGTTGTCATCACTCGATAGGTGCTGGTGCACCAATTACTTTTGGAAGCCTAGATATGCCCTATATTACTGAAAAGTAATAGTCTATGTGGCTGTCATTAGATACTAGAGGCCTCTGGGAATCATTTACAATATTTGATGAAAATCATGAAAGCCTTATTTTCATTCCTGGGCCTTAATAAAAAGATAGGTATCGTGATGCCAGGTGCACCACCATCCATTGACTGATGCCTTGCAAAATTTCAAAGACTTTTAGAGTTTGTTTCTCTGGGGAGCCCCTACAGCTTCCCAGAGCTTACCGGGCTGATGTGTATTTGCCCGTGTCATCAATCGATTGGAGTTCCTTTGCCTATTGCGGACCACGAGCCAGAACCTGGTCCCCTCAGAGAAGCTGGGGGAGCAATGGCCTGTCGAAACCCACATGTGTTTGGAAGCATTCCATGTCTGCCATCAACCAGGGTTGGTATCCAGAAAGGTAGGCGTAACAAAACAAACCTGACGGTAAAAATTTCTACCTAAAACCCAAACAGAGAAACAGAACTTGCAAACTTATACAAGCAAATGTCACAACTATCGTCGCGTTGATCGTCCGTGCGGTCCCTCCCCCCCCCCCTCTTTCCCAGGCCGCTCCAGCTATCAGTTCCTCGGCTGATGTGAACTGTGGCAGTCATCGACTCTGGCCACTGACTCTTGCAGTTCTGTGCCTTGTGGTGCATTTCTGCTGTGTGTGTGGTGCACATGCCAGGAGTAATTCATCACTACTGGGGCTACATGTGCTTAGGGCCGTCTTCCCTAAGCACCCTGTAAGTACTGCCCTTGTGTCTTGGGGTTACCTTCCACAAGGCGTTCGAGAACTGCTTTCGTAGAAGTTTTTTTGCTGCTCGGCAATTGCCCGTCCTTGGGGGCCGGCTGGGGTTTTTGTTGTCACTGTTTGGCTTCGAGTAGAAAGTGGTATCATTGCTGGAAGGGGCACAAGGTATTGTGCAACTTGTCTCCTATTAATAACCGCGGCCGGTTCTGTTCCTCCTGGGGACGTTGTGCTTTCATTTTTTTCCTCTCCTTGGGGGGGGGGGGAGGGGTCTGCTCCCTTGGTTTTATCTGCCTTCTGTTATAGTGGTCCTCTGCTAGGCCCCCCGTGCTTGTACATGTTACAGGGGTTCAGCTTTAGCAGTTCTCTTGATAGTATGGGCCAACTGGTTAGCAATACCTTGCCTGGGCTTCCCTTAGCAGCCAGCCTAAGAACCCTGGAAAAACCCCATTGGGGCTCATTAGACCTGTGGACGTGTCCTCTGGGTTCCAACTCGCCGAGTGTGAGTTTAATGGTTGTTCTGTCCCCTTGTCTCAGGGTGACGCCAGTTTTGCTTCCGTCATGCTGCTGCTGGGTAATTTACACCTTTGACCCAGAGTCTTGCGAGTCGTGTTCCTTGCTCTTGCTCCAGATTACCCTGTCTTCTGATATTGATATTCGGGTACAGGCGGCTTTGGCGTTGCATGCTAGATATCGGTTGCTGCAGCGTGCTAGGTTGGCTGCTCACCCGGATGCCCCGAGGCTGCCCCATATGGGTTATAGGGACCCGGACTTGGGGGTATTAGTCGCTTTGGCTTTGGTTTCGTCTGCACTCTCGAGTCCTTTCCCAGTTGGTGTTGTTGGTCCTGCTCCTGAGTCCTTCCCCAGTTGATGTTGTTTGTCCTGCTACCCCCTGCTCCAGGTTCCCAAACGTCTGATGGTTTCGGGGTCAGGGCAGGGTTTAGATGATTGTGAGACTTGGGCGGCTTTGGGGGCAGCCCTTTCCTGATCATTGACGGAGGCATTTGTGTCTGCTCTTCCTGCCGAGGCTTCCGGATCTTATGAGCAGACTCCCTTCTTTTCAGCCTTTTCCCTGGACTCTGTCTTTTCTGTGGAGGCAGAGGGCATGGTGGATGGCTTTGCCCTGTGGCCTCTGTGGGGATTCCTGGGGCTGTTTGGGGAGACTGCTTATGGTTTTGGGGCACTTTGCCCCTGTTTGGGCTTGTGCCTTCTGGGCGTTTTTTTTTTTTTTCGTCCCTCCTGTCTGCTTTGTTTTTTTCCCCATTTGCTTGCGTGTTTCGGCTCCCTTGCATCGGCAGCATCTCCTTTTGTTGTGGTGACCATTTGTGGTTGCACTGCAGTTTGTTTACATGTGCCTGGGAGTGAGGCGTTCTGGGGGCGTTTTTTCACCTCTGGAGTTTATTCTCCTCCAGTGATTATGTCTGTTTTGTTCACTCTTTTGGGGTGTTCTGCTCATTCTGTTCCTCTAGGAACATTTGGGTGTTAGTTTTTTCACCCGATTTTTTGTTCTTGTTTGTTTGGGTTCTGAGCCCTGGTTTTTGGGCCCTGTGTCCATGCCTGTTTGGTCTGCTTGTTCCTATGGCCTTTGAACCTTAATCTTCAATCTGTTTTTGCCGGGGGCTTTGTCTGGGTCTTGTGTTTGGCCCTTCATTTTGTGGTTCAATTCCACCGGCAAATGTGGTGATTTGGGCTCCCCAGGGTTCATTTCCGGGTTCCTTTGGGCTCTTTGGTTTTGTTCCGGAGGTTTTTCTTCCTCTTGGGTTCCCCTTTGGAGGAATCCAGACACGCACACATGCATGTGTGCAGATATCTCTACCAACTAATTTGTCTTAAACTGATATTTACAGCAAGTTAAAGTTAACTCATTTTCACGTACATAATGTATATTGGCTTTTGAAAATTTTCCGTAGGAAGTAAAATGTCTTGGAAGGAAGCCCTGGAATGATAATGATTTTGTATGTTTAAAAATTGTTCTACTTATCACTATGATGATGAAAGTACTAATATAAAATAAAATTACATTTCAGTAATTCCTACCACAACTGCGGCACCCTGTCCCCCCACAAGAAGGCACTTTGATGCAGCCAGCTTCTTTGGTAAGTGCAAGCAGATTAGTCATTCGGTCAACATGATTTTTTACTTATAATATGCACTAAACCCTTAGACCATGCAATACATATATGATTTGACAAAAAATAATTTAACATAAGTTTTTAAAACTTGCACACACACTTTCCAATTTTTTTGCATAATCATCTAGGCAAATGCTCCAACTTTGCCTAAATGATCACAGCGTAACTTGAAAAATAAGAGAATCAAAATTATTAATTTTAAAATTGAATATTGAAAAGTTCAGATTTTCAATTCAGAATAAAAAATATGAGTTATCACCAATTATTCATTTATTGTTATTATTCTCTGAGTAGCATATGATCTTCATTTTCATCAAATTAAAATATAGGTTTTCAGTATAGTTTACTGTAAAAAAAAATCGTCAATAGGACATTTGAAATATGCGGCAAAGTTAGACCCCCAAAAATTATAACTCCAAATGTATAAAGTTTATGAAAAATCCATTCTGATGGGATTGTAGAACAGACAGCTGAGCACCCAATATGTCAAAATAGTGAGAATCGTTTAATAACTGGAATTTTAAGACCCCACTCCAAGTTGAAACTTAGGTTTCAGACATAATTGAAGTTGAAGTTATCAACAATGAATAAAGTAGTTTTAATTCGTTAATTTAATTGTATGTTTTAATAAACATTGTTTGGCATTTGTACTCGAATATGTGAAAGTTGTAGGTCAATATGTGTTGAAATGAAGTCAAGAAAAAATAACCCCCCAAAAAACACAAAATATAGGGATAATTATGATAATTTAGGGGCTATATTTAGGGTATACTTTATATAAGCAAAAAAGCCCTAATATGGTCCCTGATCATCAAAACAACCTAAGGAAACAAAGAAAATAGTTTGAAATCAGAGAAAAAATTGGCCAAAAAACATTAAAAGTCCCAAGTTTTGCGAGGTGACTGATTTATTTGTTGACCAATTTTATTCTATTTTCATATAGTTATGAAAACATATGCATTCTCCAGGATGTAAAGGTTACAACAAAATCAAATAATAAACAAAGGAGAAAAAAAACTAAAATAAAAAAAAAAAAATCCCCCTAAAAAATTTTTTTTTTGGAACATTGATGAAAGTAACATATATATCATATAAATGCATTATCCAATGTTAATATAACAAAATAGATCATATTAACATAGTTATTCATTATTATTTGTGTTATTATATATTACTCAGCAATGATATAAAGGCACCAACTGCATACCCACTTTGTGGACACTTCTTACTACTATTGTTCTTCTTTGAGCATAGGACAGGTGCTTGCATCTCTTTATTACTGCATAATCCTTCAGTTCCAATTATTAGGAGCTGTTCTCCTTATTGTTGACCAGACCACACACTAGAAGTTGAAGGGACGACGACGTTTCGGTCCGTCCTGGACCATTCTCAAGTCGATTGTGACTTGATTACTTCAGTAATCAATTGTGATTACTTCAGCCACGTTATTGTGACTCATCGCCTGTTCTCTTTATCATTAAAACGTTCTTATTTTTCAAAAATTCGTTTAAAATCAATTTCTGAAAATGATTTTAATGAAAGTTTCACGACACTGAAACCAATAAGTTGGAGATTTGTTTAACATTTTTAAGTTATTTTTACATAGTTCAAATTTTTCCGCAACTAGGGCCCCCAATACTCGCAGTAATGTGTGCAGTCTAAGGGATAATTTACAAGGATGTTTTGTGGATTTTTAGTAGATTTGCATATCCTATTTGTCAGAAAAATACAGTGTATGGGTCTGGTGTGTGATTTTCAAAGGTACAACATGTTGGCGCAGTGAACAATAACCAGCTAGCCTTCTACAAATCTTGGTTATTAAATTTCTACTCATAAACTATGATAGTCTGAAAACCGCTTCTGGGCATCTGTTGACAGGCCGAGGGCTTTCTGGGGCCTCTGTTGGCAGGCCGAGAGCTTTCTGGGGCCTCTGTTGGCAGGCTGAGAGCTTTCCGGGACCTCTGTTGGCAGGCAGAGGGCTTTCCAGGGCCTCTATTGGCAGGCTGAGAATTCCGGGGCCTTTGTTTGCAGGCCGAGGGCTTTCCAGGGCCTCTGTTGGCAGGCCGAGGGCTTTCCGGGGCCTCTGTTGGCAGGCCGAGGGCTTTCCGGGGGCCTCTGTTGGCAGGCAGAGGGCTTTCCGGGGGCCTCTGTTGGCAGGCAGAGGGCTTTCCGGGGCCTCTGTTGGCAGGCTAAGGGCTTTCCGGGGGCCTCTGCTGGCTGGCCAAGGCCTTACCCTACTCATTCTTTTCCAGAACACATCCCACCCAGCAGTTACCCACCAGGTCCCTAATTCTGGTTCATGCTGATGCTTCACTGCACATCTCACTTTACTAAGAATTGACTCTAGAACACTACACTCTGAATTCTCACTTCAGATATTTCCATAATGGCAATCACACTTAAACTGGTGACTTTCCATAGACTTCTGTTAGCCCTGCCAGCAAACTACCTGATGCAATCCAACCTCAGACCAAGTCCATTCTATCCAGCGATCGACCCCAAAGACCCATTCATTAATTTTTACATTCTGTTCATTCAAAACAGAACTTTTCTCAAATATAAATTAATAATATTATATATCAGCATATTGTGCATATTTAGTCACTAGTTAAGTTAGGTTAGATGTTTAGGTTTTGTTGCCGATTATTTGTATTTGTAGTACTGTACGTGGGTGAAGCATTTACAGCATTGTGGTTCGAACAAAAGTCGTCAGCAAAGCACTTGTTCCAATAGTGTTTGGACGTCATCAGTTGTAAGTCAGTGGTAAACTGTTTTTCATTCATAAACAAGGGGTTTGCCAGGTGCATAGAATGGATTTTGGGCCTTTGTTTAGAGGATGGTCTGCCTGATGACTTGGTGAGGATCACTGGCTGAATCATGAACCAGAACCATTCAGTATGCAATGTCTCACTGAGCTTCTGCACAAAGCTGCAAGCTGGTTTCCTAGTTCCTTGCTATATTCAACATTGTTGCAATAACTCCACCGGTCCCTCTTCTAGCTGGCTCTTCTCTGGGTAGATTTCTAAAGTTGAGAGAGGACTGATCTTGGACCACCTGGGGACAGTCACAATTTGGGACTCCTGCCCAGACCAGATTTTGCTCCCCCAGTGTTCATTACTGGAGTTATGTTAAAGGCTCCTACTATTTGCAACATAAAACAATCATCCCTGGCAACATGATAACATACCTGGCGCATGCATGTCAGGCTGCGAGTTCTCCTCTCATTAGCTTGATCCCTCAATTTGAAATAAAATTCGAGTTTTGAACTATATGACACTGTCTCGCTTGTTATTCTCAGGTACAGCTTGAAGATATGATGGCAAGAATGATCTCGTGCCTTCCATGTTTTCTCATTAGTATTGTAGGATTTTCAGAGCACTGCCTTGTCTTTGCCATTTCCTACTTGCAGCCTCATGCTTCATATTTACTCAATTTCCATTAATGCGCGCACACACACCAATTGAGGGGGTCTTCCCTGCTGCCACTTTTGTAGATTGGAACTATGTTAGCCTGTTTCCACACGTCTGCTACGATTCCTGTACACAGGGATGCCTGAAAGATCAGGTGAAGTGGAATGCTGAGCTCAGATGCACATTCTCTCAGAACCCATGGTGAAACGCCATCTGGGCCAGCTGCTTTGTTCCTCCCGAGCTCCTTTAGCATATTTTCCACTTCATCTCTAGACACCTCTATCCGCTCTATCTCTGGAATTCTTATTGTGTCTGGTTCTCTGAAGATTTCATTTTGTACAAACACACTTTGGAACTTTTCATTTAATGTTTCACACATTTCCTTTTCATTTTCCGTGAATCTGTTCCAACCTCTGGATATTATCCTTTACCTGCAATTTGTTGTTTATGAATTTGTAGAATAGGCCCGGTTCTGTTTTACATTTATCTGCTATCCCTTTTTCAAAATTTCTTTCTGCCTCTCTCCTTACTGCTGTATAATTGTTTCTCGCATCTTTGTATCGCTGGTATGTTTGGGGGTTTGGCCTCTTCCTATACTGATTCCATTTTTGTGTCTTTTGGTCTCTTGCCCTCTCACAATTTCTGTCGAACCAATCCTGAAATAGAGTGGTAGACGGTTGGAACAAGTTAAATGAGAAGGTGGTGGAGGCCAAGACCGTCAGTAGTTTCAAAGCGTTATATGACAAAGAGTGCTGGGAAGACGGGACACCACGAGCGTAGCTCTCATCCTGTAACTACACTTAGGTAATTACACTTAGGTAATTACAGTGCTAGATCCAACAATATTATGGCAAACCCCAGTTCCAATAAAGTTAATGAGAGCTCTTTATGTTTATTATAAGAGTACTAGTGTGGTATGTAGTTGCAAATTGTGTTTTAGGGCTGAACAGTAAGATAACATGGCCCTCTTTTTTTTTTTATATGCAGATTAAAAAATAATTTATAGTAATTTGAGAAATACCATTACAGTATTTTTAAAATATTAGGTTTTCTGGTACAGTACTCTATCTCCAGGTAAATTATGAGCCTGCCAATGGCATGCATCATTTGTTCTGATGGAGGCATGGAGATGTATTTGGAAAGGTTTTAGGTACAGTATCTGTTAAATGTAATACAGTAAAAGTAAAATGACGATATTTTTGGCCCATCGTAGGCCCTAACCAAGTCAACGTTAGGAGAGCCCGAAATGTTGTCACTTTCCTTTAATTTGTATGGGTTTTGTTATTCATTTACACTCACGTTATTGTAACGGCAAAAGTATTCATTATTTGGCGACTGCCATTGAAGATTGGTCCATCAATCAGCTTGCTCAGACCCATCTGTTTGTTTGAAGTTGTATAATATGTTGTTATAGATTCAGCTACTCAGAACAAGTTCCAAGTAGCACGGGCTATGGTGAGCTCATAGCTTACCTGGCACAGGAGCGGGGCAAGTAGCACGGGCTATGGTGAGCCCGTAGTGGACTTACCTGGCACAGGAGTGATGCTGTGTGGTGTGTTGTATAATAATGTATTTTTTTTTTGTATTTCCAATTTTAGGTGGCATGGTGTTGGCTGTGGCTATTTTGGCAGTGGCTTATGCTGCTTGGCGTTTCTACAAGTCACGCAATGAACGCAACTACCACACTCTGTAAGTAGTAAGGTGGTGGTTAGCTGTGGCTCCCAGTGTGCACCACACATCACTAGTGTTGCCTTCTGACCCCTCGACACCTAGTAGGGCCGTCATTGTTGTGATTAGTTTTTTGTTAATTATTGCTCACTTGATGATAATCTCAGTTTATTTTTGGAAGATGTGTAGTCAACAAATTGTGTTAAAGAAGTAGTGTGTTAAGTATTTCATGTGTGCTTAGAGGGCTTTAGAACGAAACTGAAGCAGTGGTTATTTTAGATCATATCTACTATGCATTGGCAAGTTGTACAATGGCTGAAGTAGATAGAGTATGCATTAGCCTCAGTTTAATAATGGCACAATTTGTTTACTATATCTTCCACCTCACTGATGATCATATGCCTGGCTGAAAGACACTTCGTTTAGTTTAGTTTAGTCAGTCCACTTTTTCAATTTTTTTTTATAGGTGTGGGATATGCAATGCAGAATGTTTATCCCTCTTTTTTTTCATTTCTGTTGAAGATATTAAAATTATATACTGGACAGTATATTGAAAATGACAAGTTTTGATGAATCATTATATATATATATATATATATATATATATATATCATTATATATATATATATATATATATATATATATATATATATATATATATATATATATATACACATATATATATATATATATAATAAAAATATATAAATAAATAAATAAAATATGATGTATGTATGTTTAGCAATTTTATCCAGACAAGAAACTCGATTTGATATTCAGTTTCTTAAGAGTTGCCGGGGCGTAGTGAGTAAATTTGCAATGGGTTTACATCAAAGGTTCTTCTACATTGTCCTTTTGATTTAAAATCTGACTATGCCATTATGATTTTGATTACAAGATTTGTGTGTGAAGTGATTAATTAACATTAAATTTGGAGGTTTCTATCATATGCAAGAAATTGTAAGAATAACATTAGTCACTACTAATTTGACTTTGCAGATAAATCTTTTATGCAGTATTCATTAATTAGGAGAAAGTCTGAACATTTCTATGGTGAATTACATATTATAGTTTAAGATGTCTGCAACTGTAGCAGGAAATATTATGGATAAGTGTTACAGTTGAATACTATACATAATTTATTCCTTGTATTTTTTCATGCTGTTGCTCAAGGATGAGTGAGCAGTAAGTTTGGACAGCAATTCAGTTGTTATGGAAGGAAATGCACAAATGTGTGAATGATAATTACTGTTTTTTTCCTTTCAAGGCAAACTGTGTACTGATGGAACTGTAAGTGGAGCTGCTTATCTTTTATTTTTTATTTTTGTAAACCCTCCCATAGCCCTCTGCTTGAGAACGACATCCCTTGTTTTGACTTCTTTTTAAGTTGCAGCACAAGTTGGTGTTGTTTCGGGAAATATTGAAACTGTATGATGAGATCAAAGCCACATTCCATCGAACGGCTTTAATATTTTCTCATAAATATATCCCGTTCTTGTGAGTTCCTCGGTGTTGTTTGTTAATTAAACCTTTGGGTTTTGTGATATATTTCTGATTAGGTGCTTTGACTCCTTTACAAAATATTGATAGTGTTTTGTAAGGTAACTGTGATTGTTCTCTTAAGTGACCAGTTGGTATAGCACTCCATTCTTACAGTTGCCAACCGAGAATTTTCTGTGTGGATTTTTTTCTGAAATTCTTGGCAAAGAAAATCATATTGAGATAAAATGATAATACTATTTAAAACCAAATTTGCTCAATGGACATCAGTTTTTATTAATATAGATTTCTGTTATGTGTTATATGTTTCTTTTCCCACAACTAATGGGCTAGATAAAGTGCTGAGCAACTCCATCTTGAAATGATTTTTGTATTAGATTTGTTGAGGCATTGCACACTTTGATATTCCATCATTGTTCGGTGAAGCTCGTTTCGTATCCGTCCCTTGCAATATCAAGGAAGTGCTCTTAGTGCCTTCACATATTCACATATATCTGGCAACTGTAATAGAGTAGTTAGTAGAGAAAGAAGACTAAGATTTATTTTTGTTTAGCAATGGTTTGATATAAAAACGTTTAATTTTGCATGCAGTTAATAGGAATTATTATTCTTTGGTAGAGCATGATGTTGCAATTTGGATGTGGAAAGTGTGACTAGAGTAAATTTTTCTTTTGTGAATAATTATTAATCTATTATGCATCAGTACTGATCTACAAGTAAGTATAACAATGATATAGCCTTCCTTAAATGCCATTTGGTTATTGTTGCTAAAAGTTGAAGGATGCCAGTGGCATAGTTATGACCAGAGAATTAATAAAACAATAAAGTTGAGGGCGTAACAGCTAAAAAAAAATAATGCGACCTTGTGATGGGTTTTAACCCGCATTGCTGAATTCGTCAAACACACGCACTAGTAACTGGACCATGATGAGAGCATGATGGTTCAATCAGTAGTGTACGTGTCTGGGAAGTCCAGGGATTCGGTTCAATCCCCTTATGCAACACTATTTTCTCGTCACCACATCACATTGTTGTGATTTCATTGGATATAACAAAAATGCAGGGTTTCAGTTGTGTGTCTCTCCAAGTCATATTTTTGGTAGTGGCTGGAAGTTGTCTTTGGGGAGAATGTTAGGATTTTACTTGACTATTATTTGAAAAACTTATATTATCCTGAAAGTTGCTGCATTTGTTGTGTAAAGTATGGCTTTTGGGGTACTTTTCAAAATTTTACATCAATGATCTTTAATGATTTTTGAAAGTTTGATGAGTATTGATACATATTTGCTTAGGAAGAAAATTATTGAGAAAGTAAATTAAAGTAAATATTTTAGCAGCGTGCTGGCGTGATCATCTATGTCGCTTATTGGAATTAAGGTTTTATTTTACAATGTAGAATGTACTGTGATTTGCATGTGATCATTTGTTACCCACATGTGATGTAATATAGATGTACAGTGAAGCATTACAAATCTGGACTTCACGTAACTTTAAATTCCTAACATATTTGTCTAAAATAAAGAAATTTCACCACATCATGACATTTACTTGACTTTTGACCAGTAATTCATTTTAGCCTTAGCCCATATCAAAGAAAAAAGTGATGCTGTTAAATCAACATTATTAGCAAGGCAATATCGGTCAAAATAGTCCAACAGTGAGGTATAGTATAGTATCTAAAATCTGGAAAAACTCTCAAAAACCAGAATTTTCTTTGTTTACCCATTCCATAGGTTCAGTCCTTTACTGTACAGTATTATGTTATATATGTGAAACACATGTTTTCTTTGTGCAATTAATAGATTTTAGAATGTTTTTATATACTATATATATATGAATATTAGTTTAATTCCTTATTATTCAAGACTAATTATTTCATAAATCAGATTTTGATTGTTTTAAATCTTATTTTAGGATATAAGAAATGGTGGTAAAATTGTGAGTCAAATTATAGTCATTGGTAAGCTTTGCTGTTTGTTTAGTCTTTGCATCAGATTGTAAATACAGTATTGTATTTAATGTAGATACAGTACTGTATCTACATTAATATGAAAACTAGTATAAATTAAAAAATAAATAGTATACAAAGACCATCCCGCTTTCCAAACCAGTCGGGACTGAATTTGGTCAAAAAGACAGGTTTGTCTTTATACCCAGATGCACCCTCCCACCCCTGAAAAATATGGATTTTATACAGTATTTGAGAATTCATCACATTTCTGTACAGAATCTTAAAATACTGCAAATTAAAGACCTTATAATAGGTAAAGCTAGGACAGCTGAGGTAAAAGTAACCCAAGCGAGTATGCTCATGAAGGGTCCAGGTGTTTGTCCATATACGATCTTGTGATGTCTAGGTTAGGGTTCAGACTGCACAATTTCCTCTAATCTGGATAGATACTTAACTTACTCTTTTTTTTTTTTTTTTTTTTTTTTTTTTTTTTTTTTTTTTTTTTTTTTTTTTTTTTTTTTTTTTTTTGTCCGTCAATAGAATTCTTGGTGAATTGGGTACTTTTGATATCGTTCACCTTATGCGTTTCTGTTCTCATATTGGCATCGTCAGTAATATTTATAATATTTAGCGCCCTCTGATTATTCCGCACATTTGATGGTGCTACATAGCCTTCTCGGCTTGGTGCCTTCTTTGATAATTACTTACTCTATTTTGTCAGTGTCATCCATCACTCTACACATCTTGGCAATTTTCATTTGCCTATGTAAATGTTTTACCTTCTGGAAGTCACCCTTGCCACTGGTTTATCATAAATTTACTTGTGCCATTAGTAAAATGCATCAACACTGGCTGACTTTGTATTCTGCATTCATGTATAACTGTCACTTTAAGCATAGCAAGGCAAAGATCTTTACCATTAAAAAAAATGCCTTGCTGACTTTATATGTTTTGTACACAACCTTCTTAGAAATTCCAAATTCCACTTTTTTATAGGTTATACTTTCTACTTAAGTAAGCAGACAATGCACACACTGTCACAAAACTGTAATGTATCTGTGAGAAAATATTAAGGTCGAACCTGTCCCCCTGGACTCTACAGCATATTTCCAGTTGAGTTTGCTGTTAGTTGAAGTTTTGCCTGGTGCATTATTTGGAAGCCTTTGGGTATAATGTTTCATATTTTCTCTCAAATAAAAAAAAAAAAGTGTGGATAGGTAGGTCTTCAATGGCACCTCAGAAATCACAGATGGAGTTGCAGTGCCTCGCTTTTGGCTTGGTTGGCCCCCTGGATAAACTGTAACCATTGTAGTTTCTCCGAGGTAAACATGCATTTGGCAGGCAGGGAAGGGTGCTCTGGACTGAAAATTTATAATGGATCAATATATTTCTTTAATAATTGATAATCCACATAATGGAAGTTTGGAGAGTGCAATGGCCTCTGTACTCATTTTCTTGAAAATGTTCAAGCATTATTGTCATTTAATTTTGTAATGTCTGTGGAATGTTAATTAAACCTGTGTGCTCATAAAGCCTGATTTGATGTTTTGGCAAAAGCTGTAGATTGCTTTATTTTGAGAGTATAGCTGATTATAGTCATTTATGTAGTCTCATTAGCATTTATCAAATTTTCATCCCATGTGCATTCTAAATTAAAGTGGAAAAATTTCTTTAATAGTGGCAAAATAAATGTTGTATATCAAATAAAATGTTGAGAATTATTTATTTTCTACTTGAGGTTTTTGTTTCTTTGCTTGGCATGACTTACATGATTTGGAAAATAATTGTAATACTTATGAAAGAATTAAAAAAAAAATGTATAGCCAGTTTTGAGGTGTGTGTGATGTTTAATAAGATTTAATATTTGTTATTGTTCCCACTGCATTTAATATAACACAGGTTCTTTGCATGCAGAGAATATCACAATAAAAATAACCCAACCCCCACATGAAGTCATGAAATAAAAAGTGGACACTGGATATGTGTCCAGGACAGACCCAAATGTTATCACTCGTTTTATTTCATGTGCAGGTTGGGTTCTTCACATGCATGTGAATGATGGGTGTGGACACATTTTATTTTAAAGAGGGATTTACTTCGTTCACTGTGTAAGAATGCATGCAAATTGGCACACACTTCACAACTGTTGTGAGTGTAGCATGTTAGTACATTACAACTGATTCAGTAGGAAAAATTATAACCAACTGTTTATGATTTGATTTTATATTTTGCAATAAGATTCCTAGAAAATGAAAATATCTTGACTAATTGGTGCAGCATTTTCGTGAATAAATGGCACGACATTTATCTTGTTACAATTTTATAATGTGCTGAGCAGTTATATTGCGTATGTTTGTGGCAGCAGGAGTCAAGTCTTCATAAGTAATAGAGGCTGTTACTTTAGTATTTGTTTCACTCTGAACTACCATAGGCACGTTTCATCCTTAGATGCTGGGCCTTATTACTGTGCATGTACTAGGAGGCAAATTGAAACATGTTACTATATTTTGTTTTTATGTAACGAGTGAGATAATCAAGACTCGACTCGAATTGTGGATGTGTGCCACCGTGAAATTACTTTTTGCATTGAAAGTAATAACATTGCTTTCTGTTTTGGTCACAAGTTTGTAATAAAGATCTTGGTTTATCCACCTCCCTAAAGAGACATGCAAAGTAAATGTAAAGCATAATGCAACATTGGAGACATAAGGGGCAATGGCAGTGAATGCATTGATTAGTAAGGTTACTAAATTATTTCCAATTATCCAATTCTAACATAAAATACAATGCAAGTTTTTAAAAATCTTTGGATATCCCTTTTCTGCCTTACTCGGAATCTTTCACATGCAACCGAGCCAGCATCAAGGGGAAGTACAGGGAAATTAATTGATAGAAATGTAAACGTTATTTTTGGAATAAATTTCCTGAAGAGAAAGAAGGTGGAACCATGAGCTTTTTGTCTTTTATATTTGATGTTTCTATTAAAAAAAAATTAAAGAAAATTTTTTAATATATTCAAGAAAAATATAATTTATAAGTAACTTGAATTTATATACAGTATATAAAATTCTCCTGCTTTTACTTTAGGACTGGTTACTCCTGTTATCAAATGTTGTACTTTGGTGCTTTTGGATGCCTTTCAATAAATTAGATTACTGTATGCCCTGTTTACACACCTTGGATGAGATTGAAAATCTATTTGTCTCAGGAACTGTAAATAGATTATAATAATGTGAACATAGTGTCGGCTAAACTAATTTTCAAGCAGACACTTGGAAAAAAAAGTTACTAAAACCAGAATACAAAAATACGTATACATACAGTACTTCCAGCAAGAAGGTTGGAGCAAAATTACGGTATGTTGTACTAAGACAAATGAGGGATGATGCTTGCTGTAATTTGATTGTAAAACATTCCTACCCAATGTGAGACTTGAGAAATGTGGCACACTACCAATAAGTCACTTTATGCGGACTAATGCAGGAAATGCTTTTTCTAAATTTAACAATGTACAGTACTGTACTGGGTATTTTAATTTATAATTTTCTTTTTAATTTATTGGAGGTAATCATATTTCCAGACTTGATGCTATTTATTTCAGTGTTATGCAGTGCTTGATCTGCTATTTAAGCTTATAGCTTTCTGTATCACTAATAAATATGGTTTCTGCGTGAATCATGAGTGGTTGCTTTAAATTCATTTGCATAACTCGTAAAGACAGCCACAGCCATTGCTTGATTACATCATTATTTTATGTGGTAGAATTACAATTCATTGACAATTTCTGGAAAGTCGATGATATGCATACAAAAATGATTGTAGTTTAACCCTTAGACAGTGGTTATCGTCAATTGTTGATTCACAAGGTAATGCGGTTATCATATGAAGATTTAAAAAATTATTATCTGGGTTTTACATGTATGATGCACATATGGATATAATAGGTCTATGGGGATGCAATGGAGTTTACCAGGACCCATGAAAAAATATCCTGCTACCATTTCATGATACAAATGTGGTTATCATCATGAATGTTACTAGGGGAATGCAGTCATCATCATATGATGATTTAAACAATTATTGTCTGGGTTTTACATGTGTGATGCAAAAATGGATATAAAAGCTCTGTGAAAGTAAATAAAGAAAAAAGTGATAAAACAATCAGGTTAACATCAGAGAATAAACAATCAGGTTAACATCAGAGAATAAATCGGGAAGCGTCAGCAAAATCAAGCACCAGGCATTGACAAGTGCCAGACTTAAACTTACAGAGCGCCTCCACCCAGTGAAACAATAACTATTCACTTATTTTTGTGTATTTCTTACATTTTGCATACAAATTAATAATTTTATAATGAAAAATTATTTGGGAGGATTTTTAGTTTTTGTGCATAGGCTGGTATGACCTCAATAGCCGCTGTCTAGGGGTTAATGGACATTTATTTTTTAAATTGCTTAATGTAAAATTATATTTTCAAGCAAACTACACCAACTTTTGGAAATTAGAAATTGTTAGAATAACAAGCATGAACTGTTATTATCCAGGATCTCCCTAAAAGACCATTCTAACTATTCTGGGTTTTTAATTATCGGGTTGTAAGCTTTTGCCCATGGATAAGTTCGAAGCATCAATACAGAAACTTCTTACTTCCGTATTCTTGGCACGAAATTAAAATGGGAGGTATTTATTATGGTTAGCCGGTCCTGGAAAATTACGGCAATCGTGCTTAATGCAAGTCGGCCTGCTTTGTTCTTCAGCTCGCTGTGAACATCTTTGTTCAGCACCTTCCCTAAAAGTTTCTCCACGCCTTCAGGTATGTTTGATTTGGTTTCTTCCCTTGTATCTAGTAAGACTTTGGTATTTATTTGTAGTTGATAAGTAAAAATAAAACAAAAGCCTGCAGTGCCTGACAATGACCAAGGGGAACAGATTATGGTTTTATTAACACTGCTCTTAAAACATAAACTTTTCTGATCAGGTGGCAAGGTCTTCATATTTGTTGAGGTTTTCCTTAACACAAAAAAAATTAACGCAGTCGCGTCACTTTTCTCTCTATGCACATGAAGCATAAATGTAATTGAAGGTCTAGACAAATTCTAGTGCACATTGCAAATGGGAACTCACTGGTACGACACATGGTTCTTAATGGCATTGCCTTATTACATTGCTTTAAGTGTTACACTTGCCTAAGGCTTTCAAGTCTAATTTTCAAGTTTGCATGCTAATGTTGAACTTGATCTGTCCCATTTATGTTACCTTGCTTTGCTTGTTCCATTTTTTGATTAGTAGTGCTCCAGTTAATTATAAGCTTAAAATTTTATAGGAATTTTCTTCATATTTATATTATGTGATAGATTTATATGATGTTTATATTAGTAATTATTGTAGGATTTATTTTCTACATCATTGCATTCCCCTTTGGAACATGTTCAGGTAAAGAATACATACATGAGGTATACTTGGGTTTAAGTGTACTGTACATCATGTGTTCATTCT